GACAATTTTGGGATTCCTGTAACTGACCAACGCATCCCAAAGGCTCTCTCTCCATTTCCCCCTCCTGCTCACTCCCTTCGGCATCCAGGTCTGCCCTGGTTATTGGAATACACAACCTTCAAGACCTGGCCAGTAAATCCCAAGGGAACCTGCCCTCTGGAACATGTATGGCGGGAGGCATGGGTTCCCTCCCATCCAAGGGAGTACTACACACCACTCAGGTTAGTTACCGGTAGTGGTACGCAGCCTGCCTCACCCAACCTGGAACGTGTGGGAGAAGGCCCAGAGAGTCCTGTTCCCCACGGTGGATGTTGGGGGGATGACGATGATTTGCATCTCTCGTACCAATTTGTTCAAAACGTTTGTGCTTCCTTAGAAACAGCAGCAAACTCTACCTCTGATAAAACATCTGCCCTACAAACTGTACTAATGTTAGAGTGGCCTCTCTGCTGCTAACTGGCCCAGCTCACAGCCAGAGGAGCAGCCTGCTCAGCTGTCTTAGCGGCTCTCTGCCACCAGGCTCTCTGTCACTGGGTTCTCTGCCACCAGACTCTCTGCCACCAGGCTCTCTGCCACCAGACTCTCTGTCACTGGGTTCTCTGAGGGTAAGTGGGCCATCTCACAGCCAGCGTAGCTGTTTCAGGACCATTTGGGTCCCATGTGGTTCTGCTTCTCGGCCAGCCCAGCTCTTAGCATCTCTCCCTGTCAAGCGGACGACCCAGACACACCTCTGCAGTCCTGTGGGTCATATACACCAATCCTCATCAGCTACAAGGTGAGGCTGTCCTCACCAGACCAGGACTCGATCCACCTTCAGTCACCTAGAAGATGCCAACCAACGCAGGTCTTGTCCACAAGCAACCTTCTATCCTGGCAGAAGCCAGCTGCTTCTCTGGGGAAAAGTAATAACCCTCTAGGGTACAAGGCAACTTGGGAGGCTCCCCAAGTTTCTTCTCCCCCAGTTTCTTCAAAGAACCAGGACAAAGGTGACAACTCTTCAGGGCTCAGGAGGAAAATCTCCCAAGCTGTTTATCCAAGAAACCAAGGCCAAGGCCCCATGAAGGAGCTCATTCGCAACAGGACCCTTCACTGTGACACTACTTCCCCTACAGGGACTGTGTACTCCCAGATACAGGTGTGCTTCTTCCCCTACAAGCAGGGACAGTACACAGCGGGTAAGGCATTTAGCTGCCAACCAGAAAGTTGGTGGCTCAAACCCACCAGCTGCTCTGTGGGAGGAAGATGAGGCAATCTACTTCCATAAAGACTGACAGCCTTGGAAACCCAATGGGGGTCACTGTGAGTCGGAATCAACTCGACGGCAGTGGGTTTGGTTCAGAATTGCCCCCAAACCCATTCTTTTTATAACCCTCCCTTCCAGTCCAGGACACCACCAAGATCCCTATTATGACATTTGGTTTCCTGTTTCTTGAATTTTCTTGAATCCAGAACCATTCACGATTACTGCGTTGTATTCAGAGGCCAGGCCAGTTATGTTGCGGTAAGGAACTCTCTTTAAGCCAATCACTCATCTTGTGGCCATGAATTAATCCAGACAACGTAATCTCAAAGGCCACTTAACCAGGCCCAGGCCCACAGCACCACACTACAACCCCTCCTGAGCTGTCAAGCACTCAGCTGCCACCTCAGCACCCACCACATGGAATGTCCCCACCCCAGCTGTGGGACCCCAGACAGCCACATGTACAGACTACTTCACAGGAGTCACCATCATCAACACTGAGAGTCGGGGTGGTCTCTTCTCTCTGGTTACGTTCGCTCTCCTGCTAGCACCCCTGTGGAGTCCCATAAGGGCCCCAGGGCTCCTCAGTCCAGGAGTGAAGGTCCCAAGTGCCCCAATTCAGAAGAGGCTGTACGGCCATGCAGACAGATGTCATTTCTTTAGCTCCCAACATCAGGAAGACAGTCTACATCTAGGGGTATCCAGGCTGGGGTAGGGGAACAGGCCTTGGACATGATTTTGTTGTCACTAGGTGCTGACCAGTCAGTTCTGATTCATAGTGACCCTACGACAACAGAACAGCTTTTCCAAGATTCACCCCAACTGCTGTGAGTTGGACAGATGACAAACTACTAGGTGAATTGTCCCCTGAGAGGTACATGGTGACTGAAAACCCCAAAACTGCTGCTATGGGAAACCCAGTCTTTTTTTTTTTTTTTAAGCAGAGTGCACAGCTCAGAGCATTCAATGTTACCTATTATGATCACTGTTTTTAAAATGCTTATTGTGATTTGGGTGACAGTTAACAGAGCAAATTCATTTTCCACACGGCAGTTCATACACATTTTGTCTCCTGACATTAACTGCAGTTCCACACAATGTAACAGCTCTCTTCCCATTTCCTCCCTGTAGTTACCTCTTCCCTGGGTCCTTCCCTCCCATGCACTCCTGCCCCCCGAGCTGTCTCCCTGTGCAAACACTGCCCTTCTGTTCTTCCACAATTGAATGCTCCAAGGAGTGTTGTCTACCTGATGTAAATGTTCACCCCATATGCCTGTCTATCGTTTGGCTGGAAACCATGGGATTGAGTTCAATTCCAGACCTGAAGGTAGCTAGGCACCATAGTCTCAGGGTTCTCACCAGGTTAGCAAACCAGCAAACCTGATCATCTTTATGATTCCGAGTTTAGTTCCACATTGTTCTCCCACTCTACCCAGGGTCTCCTGCACCAGTCCCTCTCTGAGTGGTTGACAGTGGGAGCCGGGCACCATCTAGTTCTGCTCTCATGGTCATATAGGCTGAGGATCGCATGGCGTACCAGTCCCTTGGACTCAGTGTTCCCATGCACCTTTGGGTTTTTTCCTTCTTTGCTCTGGACGAGGAGAGATCCATTGTTGCATCTTAGATGGCCGCTTATAAACTTTTCAGACCCCAGTTGCTCCTCACCACAGCAGGATGTAGAATAACGTTTTTGTGTAGTATGTTATGCCAGCTGAGCTTGATGTGCCCTGTGACCCATGGTCCTGAGACCACAGGTCCAACTACTTGCTCCCATTGGAGCGCTGGAGTGGCCAAGAAGCCACCACAACCTGCCCTCTGTCAGCTCTACTTTACACCTGGACATTCTTAGAGCACATACAAATATGCATATAGAAACACTATCTGCCGACTCTGTACAGGGTCTGGGCACATTACCCCCTGGCCTGCCTAGAAAAGCCTAATTGTTCACCCTGTCCATCCATTTATCCACCTGTAGATCAATGTTTGCCATCACTGACAATGCAGTACTATATGTGCAAAAGGGTTCATCTTTGTTGTCTGTACCTCCCATGTGCCTCTCTATGTCTTCCTCTTCCTCAGTGCCACTGTGTAAACTCACAGAATGCTATAAGCAGGTATTCAGTGGCTACCTCAGTAGAGTACCTGGACACACAAAACAGAAGGAGAGGGGGCCAGGTGGCCCCTGTGCAGGCATCTGCAATCCCCCCCTGTGCCCCAAGCCCCTTCCCAGATGCTGGGCACAGGACCTTCCTGCCCCAGTGGAGCCCTCCCTCTCTCCAGGGAAGCTGGCTGCCCAGGGCCAGGGCCCTTTGCAACACTGGGCAGACCCTGTCTGTGCCTTTATGCCCCGCTAGTGCCTAAGGCACTTGACTGCTAACCAGAAGGCTGGCGGTTCAAACCCACCAGCTACTCCTCGGAAGGAAGGTTGGGCATTCCTACTTCTGTAGTGATACTGCCTCGGAAACCCAAGGAGGGGTCGCTATGAGTCGGGGCCGACTTGATGGTACATAACAACAACAATGACAACATGCACAGACACAAAAAGGAGCTCTGGTGGTGTAGTGGGTGAGGCATCTGGCTGCTAATCCGAAGGCTGGTGGTTCAAACCTACCAGCTGCTCCACGGAAGGAAGATGGGGCAATCTACTTCTGTAAAGATTTACTGCCTCGGAAACCCAACGAGGGTTGCTATGAGTCGGAATTGGCTCGATGGGAGTGGGTTTGGTTTGGTTTTTCAGCTTCGGTAAAGATGAATGGCCTTGGAGACCCTGTGGTACTGTTCCACTGTCCTCTAGGGGCGCTGTGAGCCAGAATCAACTCCATGGCAGTGGGTATAGTTTGGGCTTTGCTTCTGTGAAGACTGACAGCCACTGAAACCCTCTGGTACAGTTCCACTCTGTCCTCTAGGGGCGCTGTGAGCTGGAATTGACTCCATGGCAGTGGGTGTGGCTTTGGTGCATAGACAGGCCCAGTGATCTACTGAAAGGTCACTCAGAGGAGCACTTCTGAGCCCTGCTCCAGCTTAATGACCCTTCACTGTAGCAGTGAGGGCTCAGACGGAGGGGCCTGGTGTCCCCAGACCACCACTCTTCACTTGTCGCCTCTCAGACAAAGCTAGGGCACTACTGGCAGGACTGGGATGTGTTTAGGGAAAGAAATCCTGGATCCAAGCTCAAGGCAGATACCCAGATAGGAGTCCAGCAGGCGGGGCCCAAGAGGACTACATGGCCAGGCCAACAGGACAGGAGAGGACCAGGAGCTCAGCAGTTCACATCTGCTATTTGTCCTTTATGTTGGTTGGGTTCCCTAAACGACTCAGCCAAAATCCTTAAACACACACATTCGCACACACACTCTCTCTCTCTCTCTCTCTCTCACACACACACACACACAGGTACAATCTATTTTAATTCTATCTACCTGACAGTTTCGGAATCTAAATCTGAACCGCAGTCCTAGAAAACTTGTCCTTCCCCCTTGGCCCAAATCAGCTGAAGCGCAGGCTCATATTTATGCTCTAATTAAAGTCTTTTCACTGAAGGAGGAGGAATGGTCTAGAAAATGAGGCCCAAGTGAGAAGAAGCAACAGATCCCTGAGCCTCTGCTACAAAAGGCCGCCAAGGACTCTTGGCCTGCACCTAAAGGGCCAGGTGTCGTCGGCAAGGTGGGAAGGAAGAGGCAAGACCCCAGCAGCACAACTGTGGGCAGCAAAATCCCTCAGTCTGCCATTCGACCCTTCTGCAGAGCACAAGGCTCACCTTTGAACGCGACCTCCCAGCGACCCTCCAAGGAGTGGTTCCGGCTGGTGATGACGTACTGGTAGCCGACCCACAACCTGCACCGGGAAGAAGAACAGGAGAGATCTCAGTGAGGCGGCAGGAAGCTGACTTTGACAACTGTGCCTGCATCTGACGGTTACAGTGACCGTCACCAAACTCAACTTCAAAGTATTACGGTTTTGGAAAGTTTTCAAACTTAAAAACTTAACATTCTAAATGTTACAGTCACCTGTCAGAAAAGGTTTTTATTCAGCTGTTCTGATGAAACTTTAATACTTAATGAAGACTAAGACTGATCTTACTCTTGGTGGACATCAAGCCCTGTGGCTACAACTTTGTAGGTATCCTAAAAGCCTCTGAACTATACCCCCTTTGAGAGCACAGGGCTTATGGTATGTGAATTAAATTCATTAAAACAACAGCCCAGTGAAGCCCGCCTGCTGTGAGGGTTAACGTGGACTTGGCCCCACCACTACAGGCGCTGAGGAGACTGTCCGTCTGTCAGATGTCTGCGATGGACGGGGCCGGCCACCCCTCAAACAGTAGCTGCCAGCTATGCCTTTGGCATGTAAGAGTGGACCAAATGCAATGTGCAGGCAGTCCCTGGGGTACAAACATCTGATTTACACACAACATGCTGGAACAAAGCAGGCCCAGTAAAGCCAATTATAATAACAGTCTGAGGTGTGGGCAGTGGCTTGTGATAACCAACAGGTGATTCTTGGTGACAGGCATCCAAGAATGAGGATTCTCATTACCGTTGTTGTTGTTGTTGTTAAGTGCCGTTGAGTCGTTTCCGACTCATAGCGACCCCATGCACAGCAGAATGAAACACTGCCCGATCCCGCGACAGCCCCACAATCCCTGCTATACTTGAGCCCATCATCGCAACCACCGTATCAATCCATCTCCTTGAAGGCCTCCCCCTCTTTCGTTGACCCTCCACCCTACCAAGCATGACATCCTTCTCCAGGG